TTAGGAGATTTATAATGAGTGGTTCCCTGCATTATTACAGCAAAGCGCGTGATTACAGTACTAAGCCGCTGCAATGGAGCAGCTCTAATGCTATTTAATTACAGATGATGTACCATAGAGCAAAAAAATTACAGTGAAAGTAACAAAAACTTGTAAAATAATTTTTTATGGGCATAATTAAGTGTAAAAATAAGAGAAGGATATACAGTCAAACCAAAAATTTTTCAGAGACCAGATATAATTGTTTATATTTTTTTACTAGTGGGTGCAGGACACTATAGTTCATTTATGTAAATGAGGATAGCAAAATAAAGTAAACTGTGACAAATTATGCCCAAAAGTTCTTTATACAATGGACTACCAGTAAAACTGATACAAATTTGGGCCCAAAAATTATTCAGACAACATTGAACATTGAAAAAAACAACAAAAAAAAACATTGAAGTTGAAGTTTGCATGAAGCTGGGTGACAGAATGCCCAGGAGACTGCAGGTTGTCATTAAGGCTAAGGGTTGCCCGACTAAGTATTGATAGTTGTGTAAATACTGTCATACTAACAGCTGTCTAATTTTTGGTTGATTGTAATCCATTACATACCTTTCTATCAAAGTTATCTAACATTATCAAACTGAATTTGTTCTGACTCGTTTAACTCTGAGTTCTTGTTATATTTTATTACCATTTTCTAAACTATAGCAAATAAACTGTGATAATGTGAGAAATGTTGAAGGTGTCTGAATAAATTTAGGTTTGACTGTATCTATTTGATAAATAAAGTTAACCAACTAACATTATACATACTCTTTTGGTTTCTGTACCCAATATTTTAAAAATGTACAAATGCAATAAAAATATTGGTATCGGCACTCGGTATCGGCAAGTACCAAAAATAAAAGTATCATATCGGGCGAGTACTGGAAAAAGTGGTATCCCTATCAAAAACGATCAGGTTAAAAACAGCGCAGGCAGGTTATTCCTGACAGGATGCAATTTGGTAACGCAAACGTAGTGATCATCATGATATATTATCTGTAAGACAGATGCACTGAAAATGGACACAAAGAGGAGAGAATAGTCACACAAGCAGAGAAAATACTGTACCAGACAGAACAAATTAATTGTTTGCGATGCTCGAAATACTGAAAGAAAACCATAATTATGGAATTAGGGTGGGGGTTAATATGGATGTATTTCTGAGGAGAACTGACTGTCTTCAGAAAAGTTTCGATAGCATTTTCTTTTTCCCCTTACCTTCGCTAAATACATATTAAAGGAGTATTAATAAGCGCAGCACTGCTTACAGCAATAACCCAGGACATGCTGCTAGTGCTCTATAAGCGCCACCTGCTGTCAGAGATTGAATTTGCATTTTCATCAGAATCAGAAAGAGCTTTATTGCAAAGTGTGTTTACACACACAAGGGATTTGTCTTTGTGTCAGGAGCTTCCAGTACAGAAAGTAGCCTACAGTCATAGTGCAGACATACATATAATTAAGGTAATAAAACACTAATAATAATAAAGAGTAATAATAAAATATTCATTCAGCCCGTCTGATGTTTTTGTTTTGTGCAGTTGCTTCATGTTGCATATATTTTTGTTTGTTTGTTTGCTCAAGGTTAGTTTGGCCAGTAACAGAGCAAAATAAATATTTAATAAATGTAAAAAAAAAATTAAAAAAAATAAATTGGCAACGAGTATGTGAATCGGCTCATTTGATTGTAAAAAAAAAGGAACAAAATCAGCAATTGGAATCGGTCACGAAAAATCCTGATCAGTGCATCCTCAACTGGAATAGTGTTAGACCTACCTAAAAGACCTGAAAAAGCATGGTTCATTTCAGTTTTATCTTTGAACTATTGTACCTATTTGTGCAAAATGGTTATCATTTATTACAATAAAATGTTACTTACAGTCAACAATGAAAACAATAAGTCTTATTTATTGATTGTGGCAAGGCCTGTGAAAATACGATCAATACGATCAAAATCAGTATCATAACACTTGTACACAGATCTGTAGAACACGTAGGTTACATAATGATATTTTAAAATTAAAAACTTAAAATATGTACTTGAAAAGAAAACAGGATGACTTAATTGTAAAATTGTGAGGAAGAGCTGAGCAAGTCTTGCACATGTATTTCCTGGACTGAGAGTGACTTCCTGCTTAAACAGGAAGTGATGGATACCAAAAAAAGGTAGAAATGTATGTATGTATGCGTAAGGAGAATGTAAGTGCGTGTGTGTGAGAGTACAAATGCATGTATGTGAAAGGAAAATATATGTGTGTGAGAGTACAAATGCATGTACATGAAAGGAAAATATATGTGTGAGAGTACAAATGCATGTATGTGAAAGGAGAATGCAAGTGTGTGAGAGTGCCAGAATGAATTATGGCTTGTACGGCCCCTCATATATATGTGTACAGTATGTACATATAATACACATATGTATTATATGTATATATATATACTGTATATATATACACACACACTACATATATTTTATATATAATTGCAAATCCTAATAACACTGGGGTTCAAATAACATCTGGATTTTTTAATCTTGATTATCTTTTTACACAGCCTGCACAGCTGTGAAAAAATAAGTTTCTAAAAAGAGTAAATGGGATACATTTTCATTTAATGTTGTCTTTAAAGAGAATTACCAAGTTGCTACAGGTCATACTGCGAGACCAGAAAGAGTTCTCTTGTTTCAAATGGCATGCAGACTTCAGCCGAGCCTGACTTTACTCCAGAGACGTTCAGGTTTCCATTCAGCTCTGTGTGTGAATTTGTGGAAAAGAGTGAGAGAATGGAACAAAAGCATATGTGTATGTGTATGTGAGTCGAGAAATAACACACAGAACATAAAGTGCTGCAAAACACAAAGCAAAACAGCAAATCAAAGGACTGTGACAGACAGCATGCTTTCACTCCCACAGACGGTGAGGAACAGAGAGCAAGTGGAAGAATATAAAGCCAAAGATATTGCGAGACAACAGATACGGAGCCGAAAAACCAAAGCAAGAAAATGAAAGACAAAATAGACACTCACATGTAAACCCCTTCTCTCCCATTCCTTTAGGCTGAACGGATAGCTGATATACTGAACCTTCAGAGAGAGGAAGGGGGTATTAGGCAAAATAATGTGAATGCAAAACAAAAAGAGCGAAAAGTGTTTTTTGATGATGTGAGACTGAGACAGCAGGCGAAACTGGACATGCAGACTGTAATTCAACATACTGACTGGCTGCATTTAACAAACGGGCTCCCTAGGTGAGATGGTAATCAGGTAAATATGAAGAGTTCATTTGCAAAAACCGATAACTCCATTTTTTTTTTTTCAGATTTTTATTGCGCATTCCAAGTAATATCAATCAAACAGCAGTTGGGTTATTTTAAGTAATAATAACTTAAACAAATACAGGTAATTTACAAAATTAAAGTTAATTGAAAGTATGTTTTTTTAACATATTAAAAGTTTGTTTTGTTACATTGTCTCCTTAGATGACAATGTAGATGCCTGACAAACGTTGTTGTTGTTGTGATCATAAACTGTATGGATGTGATTACACGCAATACACGGAGCTTTTCCCTCACCATTGTAACGCGCTGCTTTTGCAAGGTTCCGTGAAAACGTTTCAGCTCTTATTTTCCTTTTTCGCCCTGAAGAAGATATCACAGGTTCATCAATTTCGTCGAAATTATCCATCCTTGATCACTTTTAGTCAGCTTTGCCGAACTCCTCTCAGCTAGCACGTCTTTTCAAAGTGAAAGTAGCCTTGTCACCTGACCTGAATACAGCGCGCTGATTCGCTAAAATGGACTTATCGGCTTCTGTTCAAAAACAACAAGGGTGCTTGTCGGCTTCTGCAGTAAAACGTGAACTCGCGAGTCACGATACCTTGAAAGTGAAAGTGAAAAGTTGAAAGTGAAAGACAAAACGTGTTTAGGGTTCAGATCACTTTTTTTTTAAAGTAGCGTTTATCAGTTTTTGCAAATTAACTCTTCATATTTAGTTACCACATTGTGTCATTTATTTAGTGGTGGAAACTAGTTTTAAACTGTAGCCAAACTACAAGCTTCTCATTTTATAATACAGTCAAGTTATTAATGATAAGCTTTTTATTTAACTGTATATTAAGCTGATATAATTATTTTTTTTGCCATATTCAATAATATGTACACTAGTATACAAAAGTTTGGGGTCGTTAAGATAAAAAAAAAAAAAAAAAACGAACAGTAAATACATCTATAACGTTGCAAAAGATTTCTATTTCAAATAAATGTTGTTCTTTTGAACTTTATTTTAATCAAAAGATCGTGAAAAACAAATCTATTGTGGTTTCCACAAAAATAGATTAAAAGAAAAGAGCACGACTGTTTCAACATTGATAATAATCAGAAATGTTTCTTGGGCAGCAAATCAGCATATTAGAATGATTTCTGAAGGATAATGTGACATTGAAGACTGGAGTAATGATGCTGAAAATTTATCTTTGCATCACAGGAATAACTTATATTTTAATATACTATATATTCAAAAAAGGAAACAGTTTTTTAAATTGTAATAATATTTCATAATATTATTGTTTTTATTTTATTTTTGATCAAATAAATGCAGCCTTGATGAGTAAAAGAGACTTCTTTCAAAAACATTAAAAAATCCAACCGACCCCAAACTTTTGAATGATAGAGTATCTGGCGCAATATACATAAATACATTAATAAATAAATACAAATAAATAATAATAATAATAATTATTATTATTATTGGTAGTAATAGTAGTAGTATTAAAATAATATAAAATACTATTTAACAAAATGTTTCACTACAAATAAGAAAACAAATAAAGATTTGAAATACAAGGGGACTTTCCATCCAAACAAACCAATTTACTAAAATCAGTTGGATTTCCAAACTCTATTTGAGCAATCAAAATACATCAAACTACAGATTACTAAACAAAGTACTGAAAAGAAGAGGAATAACATGTTATGAAAACTTTGTTTAAAACTAAAATGCACTCAAATTTACATGGGATAGATGGCTTGTCACGCTGTTTCCCTATCTGTCAGTCACTACGAGTTATGTTGTGATGACATTAGGGGTCTAACTTGGGAGCCCAATCATTTCTGAGTTTAAGAGAAAACGGCAATGAAAATTGGCTAGTGGATTTTGCACGCTGAGCCACTCCCCATGCACACGGATATAAGGCGACAGCACGCGTCCACTCATTAGATTTTTGCTTCGGAGCCAAGTGGTTGTATGAAAAGCTGTTATACTCCACAAAGCCATTCATCTGCTGTGAGTCGGGAAGCTGTTCTGGTTGGCGGTACGGAAGCCGCTCGTCTCCTTCCTCCATCCTTACTACCCTCGATGGCGGGGCGGCTAGGGTGTGCGTTGACATTCCCCAGGTGGAGAGAGCGGTTGCGGTGCAACTGTGGCCGAAAAACGCCGCCACTTGGAGGAATTGTCCTCATCTCCCGTCCAAAGCCTGTAAGCTGTCGGCAGCTCTCACTGCAAAAGCTTATAGTGTTACGGGCCAAGCTGCCTTTGCCCTGCATGTCATGGCTATCCTGCAAGTTCACCAAGCCATGCACAAGGGTAGTAATGACCCATGGTTGATGCAGGAGCTGTGCACGATGACTAACTTCACCCTCCGGGCAATGAAAGTCATGGTGCGGTCCCTCGGGAAGGCGATGTCCACTCTGGTGGTCCAGAAGCGCCATCTCTGGCTCAACCTGGCTGAGATGAGAGACGTTGACAAAGCACGCTTTCTTGACGCTCCCATCTCCCAGGCTGGCCTGTTCGGCGACACTGTCGAGGACTTTGCCCAGCAGTACAAAAGCAGACTGAGGCCATCCAACACATCCTGCCCCGACGTGATCCTCCAGCTGCCACCGTTCTGTCACGGGCGGTGTCTCAGCCTGCTCGTCACCGTGGGTGCCCTCCTGCATCCTCCACAACCGGCTCCGACCCGTGCTGAGACACCGTCGAGGCCAGCGTGTCAAGCCCCATTCAGGAGAGCGGCGGCCCCTGTGTCGCACCCGGCCGCTAAGTCCTTCAAGAAGACGGCGAAGCGGCCCGGATACGGGCAACCTGGAGATGTGGGAGACTGCTCTTCATGAGGTGGTGAGGACAGCGCCGCTACTTCCCCCGGAGGAGGGCCGGGCGGAGAATCTTTTCAGCGGTCAGCGGTAACCACATTTTCAATAAAAGAGCAGTTTCCTTTTCCTCCGGGTTGCAAGGCCCGTGGGTTGACAGTGAGCAACGCACCGCTTCCTCACCCTCACCCACGACGCCCCCTATCGCCAGTGGCCAAGAGATCGCAGATCAGAGATGCAACACCTCTCCATGCATCTCTGGCCAGTCCCTCCAGGGACACGGGGAGTTTTGCTGTGATGACTCAGAACGAGGTGCCTTCTGGGCCACCCAGCACAACTATCCATCGCTGCACCACTGTGGGTATGTCGACTGTCCCTTTGGTGCCACTCGTACGGAGTTTGGGAACGTGGCTTGCGCTGCCCAGTGTATTAAATAAATTCAATGCACACAGACTGAAGTAGTTTAAGTCTTTGGTTCTTTTAATTGGGATGATTTTGGCTCACATTTAACAAAAACCCACCAATTCACTAAGAAACAAGAGAAGAAAAAATGCAGATGAGCTGAAGGCCACTGTCAAAGAAACCTGGGCTTCCAAACCACCTCAGCAGTGCCACAAACTGATCACCTCCATGCCACGCCGAATTGACGCAGTGATTAAAGCAAAAGGAGCCCCTACCAAGTATTGAGTACATGTACAGTAAATGAACATACTTTCCAGAAGGCCAACAATTCACTAAAAATATTTTTTTATTGGTCTTATGAAGTATTCTAATTTGTTGAGATAGTGAATTGGTGGGTTTTTGTTAAATGTGAGACAAAATCATCACAATTAAAAGAACCAAAGACTTAAACTACTTCAGTCAGTGTGCATTGAATTTATTTAATACACGAGTTTCACAATTTGAGTTGAATTACTGAAATAAATGAACTTTTCCACGACATTCTAATTTATTGAGATGCACCTGTATCTTGGATCTGCGAGTATTGAATTGGGCTCTTCACAAGCTCACGTTCAAGATGTTGATGCAGAAACTTATTATCAAATGCGACCAAGCCCAGGATTAGTTTACAGCGATCGACCTGAAGGACGCGTACTTTCATGTCTCGATCCTTCCTCGTCACAGACCGTTCCTGCGGTTTGCATTCGAGGGTCAGGCATGGCAGTACAAGGTCCTCCCCTTTGGGCTCTCCTTGTCCCCCCATGTCTTCACGAAAGTCGCGGAGGGCACCCTTGCCCCACTATGGGAAGTGGGCATCAGGATCCTTTACTATCTCGAAGACTGGCTCATCATGACCCGGTCACGAGAGGAGTTGTGCGATCACAGGGACCTGGTGCTTCGGCACCTCAGTCAGTTGGGGCTTCAGGTCAACCAAGAGAAGAGCAAGCTCTCCCCTGTGCAGAGAATCTCTTTTCTCGGTATGGAGTTAGACTCGGTGAGTATGACGGCACGTCTCACCAACGAACATGCCCAGTCGGTGCTGAACTGCCTGAGTTCCTTCAGAGGCAGGACGGTGGTACCACTGAAACACTTTCAGAGGCTTGTGAGGCATATGGCATCCACAGCCGCAGTCACGCCGCTCAGATTGCTTCAGCACTGGTTACACTCCCGATTCCCGAGATGGGCATGGCGCCACGATACACATCATGTCACCATCACACCGATGTGTCGCCGCCTATTCAGCCCCTGGTCGGACCTTGCATTTCTACGGGCCGGGGTGCCCTTAGAACAAGTGTCCCGGCATGTCATTGTCACGACAGATGCCTCCAATACGGGCTGGGGCACTACGTGCAACGGGCAGGCAGCCTTGGGGTCCTGGACAGGACCTCGACTGCTTTGGCACATCAACTGCCTGGAGTTGTTGGCAGTGCATCTAGCCTTGCGGCAGTTTTGGCCGCTGCTGCTGGACAAGCACGTGTTGGTCCGCATGGACAACACTGCGGCCATTTCGTACATCTACCGACAGGGCGGTCTATGCTCACGTCACATGTCACAACTTCCTCG